AGGCCATCTAACCACTGAAGCGCAGCAATGTTCTGTGTGTGTATGTGTGTGTGAGTAAAAGTTCCCCTCGCACATATGTGCTACTCGTTCCTGACTCTAGGGGGTGGTGCTCATCTCTGTTTCAAAGCCGAAGAGCCAGCACTGTCTGAAGACATCTCCGTGGTCATGTGGCCAGCATGACTAAACACCAAAGACGCACAGAACGCTGTTACCTTCCCAGCAAAGGTAGTTCCTATTTTCCTACTAGCATTTTTACGTACTTTCGAACTGCTAGGTTGGCAGAAGCTGGGACAAGTAACAGGAGCTCACTCCATTATGCGGTGCTAGGGATTCGAACCTCTAAACTGCCTGATTGACAAGCTCAGCGCCTTAGCCACTGAGCCACCACTGTATTTATAAAGCCTTTTCATGATGCACCCTGGATTGTGCAACAGCGTGAATTAAAACAAAACAACTGAAGTGAACTAAACTAAACTAAACTTAAACCTAACCCTAAACGAACTAGCAATTGCTGGCAGTCAGACTACTCTGTAGATTTTCCTGGCTTTCAAAATACATGGCAGATTGAATTAAAAAGATGCTCCTTCTAGTTCTATAAGTCTATGAATTTTCTGGCAACCACATTGTTATTTTTCACCCAAGGGACAAACAGATATCTAGGAATTCACTCTGAATCAGAAAAATGACACCATCACCTCCACCAGTGTGAAGCTACCCCATCCCTTCTTTTTCTCTAGCATTTCCATTACTGACAGATACTTACCATCAAAGAGCTGGAAAAGATATTGCTCGCTTTTTTTTATTAGTTTCTTAGTAGCACGTTCTACTAGGTAAAACTCATCCAGTATATTGAAGGCATCGATCATGCGCACCGTTTCATTGGTTAGCAGGGCGTCATTGTATTTCCGAAGATGCAGGGCACAAACTCGAGTTTTTTGGCAACATTCTTTTGCTCCTTAATACCACAAAGAGAGCAAATGTCATGATAATAGTCTGTCACATTATCTTTCCATTGATCTGTTTCAGCCCATCTCATCTATAACATTTTTGCTTGTTCTGTTCTTTTGTTTTAGAGTTGGTAAAAAACAAGGTTTCTAGATTAAAAGTTGAATAGATGAGGCTGTAATTTTCTCTCTGCAGCTGTAGTTCATTGCAGCGCATTAGCCAGAGGTGGGGGAAAACATAACCCAAGAAGCCATAGCTAATTTATTTTAATATAAGCTTGCACTCACATTGTTAAGACTGAATCGCTTTGCTTCTTTCAAACCTTAACGCTTTCCAACTTGCCAATGTACTGGGGGGAGGGAAAGGGGAAATGGAATGTGGAGAATGTATGCCGAGATCCTGAGAGCATGGAAGCCATCAAGGTCGCCTCTGCAGGTGCTTGAGAAAGAGATGGACTTTTCCCATAACAAAAGAATGCCTCATAATTGGACAACGTGATCATTCAGGGGTGGGGAGAAGGAGAAAGTATTGTTTAACTGTGCAACCATTTGTGCAGGAAACCAGAGCTGGTTTTGTTTCTTCAGTACCAACATGGTGTATCCAATGAAGTTTTACTTTTGAGGATTCAATTTTCTCAAGAGTGTTTCCTTGCTTGGGTTCACTGATTGGACAGTTGACACACATGTATTCTAGGTCAGTGTTTCTCAACCTTGGCAACTTGAAGATGTCCGGACTTCAACTCCCAGCATTTGCTGGCTGGGGAATTCTGGGAGTTGAAGTCTGGTCATCTTCAAGTTGCCAAGGTTGAGAAACACTGCTCTAGGTAGCACAGCTAACATAGGGCTGGAGGTGGAAAAATCAAGAAGATATTAAATCTGCCTCTGAACATTTCTTTCTTCCAAATCTATGTATTCAGGTAAATCCGCAACCTGCAACCACAGTTCAGCCCACAATTTCTGTTACTAAGTGAGATATTTGTTAAGTGAGTTTTCTTGCCAGAGTTGTTAAGTGAATCACTACACCTGAATCACAT